ATCTGAGTAAACTCAAGACTCCAACTTTTTTAGCAACAGAACACGTTAATCGTTTGTACCACCCAGCGATTACATCCTTTTATACACACAGCTGAATTTAAGGTAACTGGCAACTTAGCTGACCCAAGACTGCAGGAGAAATATACAGATAAAGATCTTAGAAAGGGATAGCATTTTAGAGAAGATCTGCTATGATCTCTTCCCTCACCTAAACTGAGGACAGAAAGATCTACAGCAGTTTAAAGATTTTTTAGTTAGTGGCAAGTCCAGAACCAAAACTTATGAGTTCTGATTCCTAGTTCAGTGAAGAGATAACTATCCAAAATAAAACATATTGCACACAAGATTTTTCTCCTAAAGATTTGCTTACTGTGTACATTTGCTCCTCTGCCAGTCTTTGTGGTCATGTTCCCTCAAGTACACATTTTACCTGATATTTTTTCCTGCTTCTGCTTATTAAACATTTGAGGTTGATGGACAAGGATCCTTACCTTCAGGCTAAATTGTGTCATGGATTATGTCAGGTCTCGGGCAGCAGCAAGCTTCCCCTTTATCATGCAACTCTGCTTCATGTTGCAGGCAGTTATGGTTTCCAGATCATGTTCTAATCTGGAAACAGAACAGAGTCTATGAAGGACTTCGGGGGCCCATGAATCCTTAAGGTTGTATGTGAAATTCATGGCCTTAATCATTTTTTCTTTGGGAGTTCAGTGGTTTTGAACAGATTTTAAAAGAGAATTTAATCTCCAAAAAGGTGAAGAACCATCAATTGAACAAGCTGGGCCTTTTTAGTATGGTTAAATTGCCCTGTCTCTAGCCCCTTTTCTACTTTGGAGATAAAGTTAAACATTTGTACATGAGAAAGTACAGTGTCTTGTACATCGTAGGTGGTGAACAGATATTTGTGAACTTAATTTTGTATTAAAAGGATTTTCTCAAGGATAGCTTTTTCCAGTCCTCATTTGCTTTATAATTTGCTATATTACTATATTTTCTTCAAACCCACCAGCCACTCCTTGGAAGGAAGGTTGGGCGATCTACTTCTGTAGTGATGTTGTGTTGTTGTTATTTGCCCTCGAGTCGGACCCAACTCATAGCAACCCCTCCTTGGGTTTCCGAGGCAGTATCACTATGGAAGTAGATTGCCCAACCTTCCTTCCGAGGTGGGTTTGAACCACCAGCCTTCTGGTTAGCAGTCAAGTGCCTTAGGCACTATGCTACCAGAGGTCCTGTTGAAGTCCTAGAAATGTGATTTTGGTGTTTTGTTCTGTTTCTCCCAGATGCACACAAGGCTCATTTGGTAAGCAAGGGTGAGATGGGCTGGGCTTCTGTTCTGTCTCATCCGGCTCTGTCTTGCGGGATAGCTGTTTTCCTGAAGCAGCATTGGCATCTTTCAGTGTTGGTAAC